ACCTAATGCCCAAGGTGATGGCATTAGGAGGTAGGGCTTTGGAAGGCTCTGCCCTCATGATTGGGATTAAAGCCCATATAAAAGAGACCCCAGGGTGCTGGCTTGTCCCTCCCACCATGTGAGGACACAGAAAAGATGGCTGTCCACGAACCAGGAAATCCTCATCAAACATCAGATCTGCTGGTGTGATGATCTTTGACTTTTCAGACCCCAGAACTGTGAGAAGTGAATGTTTGTTGTTTTGGTTGTTTGTTTGTTTTTTAAAGATTTTATTTATTTGACAGAGAGAGAGACACAGCGAGAGAGGGAACACAAGCAGGGGGAGTGGGAGAGGGAGAAGCAGGCTTCCCGCTGAGCAAGGAGCCTGACGTGGGGCTCGATCCCAGGACCCTGGGATCATGACCGGAGCCGAAGGCAGTCGCTTAACGGCTGAGCCACCCAGGCACCCATGAATTTTGTTGTTTATAAGCCACCAGCCTCTGGTACTTTGTCATATCAGCCCAATGGATTAAGATAGGGTTTGTCTGATGTCTCCTCAAGATTAGATTCAGGTGATGCATCTTGGGCTGGAATATCATAGAAATGATGCCATGTGGTTGTCACGGCTTCCCGTTAGGTAGCATACCATTTCAATTTGGCTCATTACTGATGATGTTAACTTTAATCACTTGATGAAAGGGATGTGTTTCAGGTTTTTCCATTGTAAAGTCACTCTTTTTCCCTTTGTAATTAGTATTTTGTTGGGAAGTATTCTGAGACTATGTAAATATCCTGTTCCTCATTAAGCTTGCAATTTATTCATTTATTTCTAGCAGTGTGGACTCCTAGATTCCTATTTTATTTGGTGGGTTGTAATCTGTTGGTATCATCATGATTCTGATGCTCAAATTTTCCCATATTTTGCCAGTGGGAGCCCCTCCCCTGTACCCCATTATTCTTTGAGCACTTCCTTACTTTTCAGTGTGACATGTTCTGGGCTCATCTTGTTCCTTGCTTGGCCCCACTCTGGAATCTGCCATTCCTCCAAAAAGGCACAGTTCTTTTTAGTAAAGAATGGTATTTAGAAACTAAGATCTGGGCATGAGGTGTGCTCATTGCTGGGGAGGTTTCATTGCTCGTAGGCGCTCTCCATGGACAGAAAAAAGGAATCCATCTATAGAGACACAGACAGACATGCATATATACACACATATATTTTACATCTATATTTTTATGTCTGTCAAAGCGCAGTGTGAGGCTCATGTTGGAGTGAGAGGTAGAGGCTGAGGTGTCTCCTGGGAGAAGGGGCCAAACCAACGTCTAGAAATGGGGGACGTTCATGACAGTGGCTGTGGGACTGGGGCCTTCGGGGGGCTGGTTGCTGGTCCACGGAGCTCCCAGAGAATGAGCTGACAGGCAGCTGGCTAAGGCTTTACAGAAGTGATATCAAATCCCCAGACCCAGGGATGGCTCAAGCTCTGAAGGAATCCCCAGGAAGACGCGACTGCGCCACCAGGAAGCTGGCCCTCCCCGAAGGAGACTTCTTCCCTGTGGGCCCTCAGGCACGGCCACGGAGGACAGGGAACTGGGGAGACTCTCTCAGGACCAGGCCCGGGCTCCCCCGTGGAGAAGTGAGCCCTGGCAGCCCAGCCAGCAGGGCGTGGTGTAGGCCGTGGGCTGGCAACCCCCGAAGGATCTTCCCCTTCTCCTCTTTTGCCAAGTCAGTCCTTACGGTGGATCATCTGTTTTCTCTCTGCCGTCATGGACTTGGTGTTTTGGGGTAGTTATATTTATAATTTAGCCACCGTGATAGATAAGAAGCCACATCCACCTCATTGAGAGAAATGCACATTACTCAGAGATCCTGATTTTAGAGCTGGTCATACTTGGATCATCTTCCTTTGGGAAGGAGATCAAGTGCATTTTTAGTTGTAGATGGCGTGGGTTCTTCATTTTAGCAAGAACATCTTAAAAATATCTCTTTTATTGAGGTGAAATTCCCATAACATTAATCATGTAAAAGTGTACAATTCAGTGGTGGGTAGCACATTTGTAATGTTGTGCAACCACCATCTCCATCAGATAGCCAGAGCGTTTCGAAAGCGCATACACGAGGAAAGAAGGTCCGCGCGGATGCTGGGCAGCCATGGGGTGACGTGCAGAGTGTCTGCCCAGCACCCCTTGCTTTGGGGGACAACTCTGCTCCCACTCCCTGGGGCGCTGGCTGGATCTGTCCATGCGAGGGCCACCTTCTGCACTCACTGATGGGGGTGGGCATGTGACTCATGCTGTCCTACTGTTTGTAGAACCTGGGTCACGGTGGGCTTGTGACCAAGGCCAGAACAACTGAAGTGACCCTTGGAACTTTTCTGCTGGGGATGGCCCCTTGAGTGAGGGTAACAACAAAAAACAAAACAGAACAGCTACGTGTCTCAGACCTTGAGGCTCGAGGTGGGGGAGGGGTTGTTGCTAAAAGACGTGGAGCTTCATGTCCTAGAAGCATCGGGGTGCTTCCTGAGGGGAAAGAAAACATTGTTCTTCCGCTGGGATTCTGAACTGGGAGAAGGTATGCCTGAGACTGCTTGGCACCATCTTGGAATCTGACGCAAGGAGGAGAGAAAGTGCCAACACATGGGGAGCAGACAAGCGTGATGGAGACAGCGAGCTCAGGAGGTGGCATTTGAGTCCCCGGATTTACCTATTCCTGACTCTCCAACCCTGGGCTTCCCAATTGTCTAAACTCTAAACTACTGAATCCCTTTGTTTAAAATCTGGTTTAGGCTGGGATTCTGTCCCATGTGACTGAGAGTCTTGACGAATATAACAAGCCACATGGAAGGTAGGTGGAAGTGTCACCATTTGCTATCGATGAAGAACCTACGTGGATAGTGGCCTGTGATGCAGCTCTCCTGGTGGGTGTGACAAGCAGTGGGTATGAAGATGACCCAAGTGGTGAGTCACTGTGGGGTTGAAATCACCCAGCAGGATGGGAGGTGAGCCAGGTCCGGACATCAGGGAGGGGGTGCAGCAAAGGCAGGTGGAATAGTTTCAGAAGCCGACTGATGGAGAGGACATAAGGTCTAGCAGAGTGTGGGGGGCCAAGGGTAGAGTCTCATCTGAGTCAGAAGTGTGGGAATGGAGCCTTCCGCTGGAGTCGCCGGGTGGAAGATGTTAGAGGAACATGTTGTGGGTGAAGGAGTTGCTGCTGCTTGCTAAATGTGTCTGGTTCTCCCTGCTTTGAGATCCGTGGTAGTGTTTACTTCCTGGATCCTGATAGTTGAATGGAGCTGTGGGACTCGTTCTGGCCAATGAGGGACGAACAGCCCTGTCAGTGTGATGCCCTCCTGTGCTCTCCTGGCAATGGTGTCTCTTCTGTCAGCCAGGGTCCCAGAATATTCCGTGAGCTCTACCCCTCTGCAGACTTGCCACAGACATGCAACAGGAGCAGGAAAAGTTACGGTTTTTTATATTTGGTACACTTAATTTACAGTTGTGCCATGCTCAATTTTTTTTCTTGTGGTAAAATATGTGTAACATAAAATTGCCATCTTAGCCATTTTTAAGTGTAGAGTTCAGAGGCAGTAAGTACACTCACATATTGTGCAAGCATCACCACCATCCACCTCCAGAACTCTTTTCCATCTTTCCAAACTGAAGCTCTGCACCCACTAAACATGACCTTCCCACTCCTCACACCCACCCCCCAGAGCCCAGTCCCTGGCAGCTACTATTCTACTTTGTCTCTATGAATTTGACTACTCTCCGTACCTCATGTACGTGGAATCACACAATATTTGTCCTTTCGTGTCTGACTTATTTCACTTAGCAGAATGTCTTCAAGGTTTATCCATGTTGCAGCAGCTTTCAGAATTTCCTTCCCTTTTAAGACTGAATAATATTCCACTGTATGTATACGCCACATTTTATTTATCTGTTCATCTATTCATGAACATCTGGGTTGTCTTCACCTTTTGGCTATTGCAAATAATACTGCTATGAACGTTGGTGTACAAATAGCAGAGACTATGAGAGTCTCTGCTTTCAGTTCCTTTGGGTCTATACGCGGAAATGGGATTGCTAGATCATATGGTAATTCCACGTTTAATTTTTGTGAGGAACCACCATGCTGTTTTCCACAGAACTTCTGTGATTTTAAGTCACGAAAATTTGGGGTTGTTTGCTATTGCAGGATAACCTCGCATATCCTGACTGATACTGCCCCTCGATCCAGATAATCTAGGATCAACCAGGATTCTGGTCAGACCACAGTGGAATGGACAGAAGTGAGGGGGTCTAGGAGCCCAAAGGGCTAAACCAATCGGAGCCAGACCCAGTGTGATGTGTGGTACGGAGGGCCCAGTAGGATTAGCCAGCACTGATATGCCTCTTCTTGGGACCACCCGGAGGGACCTTCTCATGCCGAAGACGTCAGGGCCAGGCTCTGGAACCAGCCCTGTAGCCACATGGTGGCTTCTTACTGGACACAAACCCCCCTCTAACATGGTCAACTTGGGCCTCTTGACCCCAGCAACACAGATATCCAAGGTCACACACATTATGGGCTCCCAGTGACTTCATCATAGGTAGTTCTACTCAATAGAAACTTACATTTGCCCTTCTTGATCCCGAGAATTTCAGCTTGTGGAGAGCACCTATAATGTTTCAAAAGTGTGATGTGGTGATTTCAGGGTCAGATGAACCAGGCCTTGAATCCTGGTTCTGTGACTTCCCCAACTGTGTGGTTTGACTAAGCCTCAGTTTCTTCATCTGTAGAGTGAGGATAATATAAACTACCACACAGGTTTGGCAGAGAAATGTGCCAAGCCCGGTGCCTAGCACGCAGGGGCACTCAGGAAACAGTCGCTGCTATTGGGGGGCAGTATTATATAAGCCCTTGAGGGAGGGAGAGGTATGGCACCATCCTTCTAAACATGGTCTTCCCCTTAGCCCCGCTTTACAGTATTTGCGGATGCCTATCTTGGTGTGGAAAGCAGAGCGGCAAGGAGCCTGCGATGCATGCATTCATTCAACAAATGTTTATTGAGAACCTACTGGGTGCCAAGTGCCAAGCTACAGATGTGGTTCTTGTCCTCATGGGAGAAACAGCACGAGTCTCTGGAACTGGACAGGTGGAATCCACGGACAGCAGGGCCTGTCATCAGCGGCATGGGGTGACCACTCGAGTGAGGGTGACACTGAAAAAGGCCAGGACGATTGTGTGGAGAGTGGCCTCTGACCTTGAGGCTGGGGAGTGCGGAAGACTGGAGGATCTGGGAGCATTAGGGAGCTTCCAGAAGGAAAACCTCCTGGACGGAAGTTGGGCTCCATGTCTCAAAGACTTTGGTAACTGTGTACCTATGCCCTCAAAGGGGTGAAGCTGGTGGGGGAGAAGGGAAAAGCAGGACTGGTTTCAGCAGTGAGGGCCTGAGTGCCCATCTCCGGGAGCCCCCGCCCACAAGTGGGATGGTGGGTGCCTGGGGAAGGGAGCACAACATGTCCTGGGTCAGAGAGCTGAGGGCACTGCCATGTAGCTGAAGTGCTCGGTGCACTGGGGGAGGGCACAGTAGGAGAGGCTGGGGGAGGTACAGGCAGAAGTAGAGAGCCAGGCTGAGGGGATCAGGGGGCCCAGCACCAAGCCCTAGAGATAGCAGTTGGGGAAGTGATGAGCAGAGGGTGGCTGTGCTGACAGAAGTAGAGAGAGATGCCCCAAGTCAGAAACCTGGAGCCCGAAGTCTCTGGGAAATGAGAACAACCCCCGCGGGAAAGGGGTGAGTAAGCGTGAGGGTGGAGTGTAGGTGTGCACAGAATCTTAGAGCTGGAAGGGATCTTCAATGTCATTTAGTTCAAACTCCCACCCCATGAGGTCTTTCAGTCTTCCACTGTCCAACTGAGGGCACTCAACTCTACTTGGACACTTCAAGGTATGGGGAGCTCACTCCCCCTAAGGGGACTCATCCTATAGACGTGCCCGAGCCTCCAGGACGGCCTGGATGGACCTGGCGCCTCGACCTTGGCCCTGTCGAGTGGGCTGGCCTCCATTCGGCGGCGGCACCTGGCGGGGGTGGCGGGTCGGGTGGGGATTGCGGTGCGGATGGGCCGGCGCTGCTGTCCCCAGCCCCAGTGCTGAGGCAGGCAGAGTGCAGTGGGCTCTGGTGGAGGTCGGGAGAACTGCAGGGTGAAGGCCGCCGGGGGCTCCGCGGGCTGCTGGGGGGGAGGCACTTGACACCGGCCCGGGGAGAGGAGGGGCCGCTGTCCCTGCGGCCAGTGCTGGATGCGGGGACCCAGCGCAGAGGCAGCGCCAGGTAGCGGG